CATGCTCTGGAGCTAAATGCCGATTCTTCTCGAAAGCAAGAAAGGTACGATCGTCAGTTTTCTTTGTCCAACCTTTGTCTGGACAGTGGCTTAAGCTTGTTTTCTATAGATTGATTCAAGGACCGAGCTCTACCATACGGACGACTTACAAATGCCTGAGTAAGCAGCGGATCGTTAACTTTTAAATGCTTGTCCAGCTCCCCATGTAAGCCGTGAACACAACGATCACAGAGCTTGAAAGGCAAATCCTTTTCGAGCTTATTCTTTCTGATTTTGGTGCTTCTCTCAATGTACTAGAGGACTACGCGCTACTGTACTAACTGTAGCGGCTGCAAATGACGAAGTTTCCATGGCCGTTGCTTATGTACGAATTGCGGTCCAGTCGGCTTACCATCTGCGCCTCCCGTGTCACAGGGAGCCTTAAATTAGAACCAACAAGAGTGATGTTGCTGCAAGAGGCTCGAAAACCACCTTCTCTACCATAAGCCAGGCTTCCTCTGAGATTTGTGAGTGTGTTTGTTATCGAGCAGTGTCCCTGGGGTGTCTCCAGAGCAGTCGGCTTCGAGAATGTTGGTATCGAGAAAGTATTTGGGGTTCTTGCAGCTGTAGAAAAAGGCACCGCAGCACAACTGATTGAATGACAAACAAAAGAACGATCACAAAGGTATTTCTTCAGACTTTTCAAGTGTTTCTGTACATACGCTTTGATGGAGCATTGCTGTGAACCCCATTTGATGCGAAAACTTGAGAAAGCAAGGATCCAAGTTTAAAAGCTAATGCTGGCGGAAAGAATAAGATTAACAGCTATGGAAAGTACGTTTGTTTCTTTCGTTGCCCTGTCAACGCGCTTGTTTGGAGCAACGATTAAAGCTTCATATTTTACTAGGAATGACAAGAGTTTTGGTTCTTTTAGCATCTTGGGTAATGTTTTCAATCCTTCTAGTGGTTGCAAATGAAGGTATAGTCACTAATTATTCTGGGAGTGACATAGATCTTCACTGTCAGTTAGGAAACAAAAATTATAAAAAAGTAACCTTCAAGGATAAAGAAAAATTGACATGGTCGCTTACTGATAATGTAAAATGTAGCACATTATTTTGGTTATGATGCATTTCAGAATGTGTCATATATAAGTGAACAGACAGCATATGCGTACACGATTATGGAGTAATATTTTGGCATGTTAATTGTGACATAGGATATCCTTGCATGCAATACGGGTTAAGAACAACATATTAGGTGTAAAAATTGTGTTTAATAATATAATAAGATGTTTTTCTTTCAGATTATGAAATACTTTTATTTACACAAAATGATAGATGGTAAAAAATTTATTGATTTTTATTTTATTACAGAAAAATAAATTCTTATTTTAATAAGAAACCCATAAGTTCAAGTCAATAGAACTATAATGAAGATTTAATGTTTTTGAAAGACAATTGGTTTTTAAAATGGATCCTTCAAGAGTTGAATCTAACATGAATGTGTAAAGTGCCCATCAAATTGTGAAAAAACACCAATAGCTTTAATGTCCCATTAGTATTAATAAAATATAGTAATAAATAACACTAAACAAAAATAAATAATTAACAAGAAAATAAGATATTAAATTAATTTGATTAAAATCTCCAATGAATATTATAAAAAAAATTCCATATGATAAGAATATAGGCTATTTTAATGATATTCATAATTAAATATTTGAGAGTGACTGAAGCTTTTTAATAGGATAATTTAATACTAGTTTCATATTCTATGTGGTGGTATTATTATATCTTTATTTAGATGTTTATATGGTAGCTTAAATGCCACATTTTGTTTTTCTTAAGCAAACCTATAACTATATTGCTTGAAGATTCTAGGATATTCTATCAGTTATTCATTTAGATTAATCTTGAACAAGTTAATATGCAATAAGATTAATCTTGTATTTAAACTCTATGTTGCCCAGAAGAAGAATCACCATTTCTGGAGCTTCCAAATCTCACAACCTTTCTATTGCCATGGAATTTGGAGACCAACTGGAACTTCAAGTAAAACTTGCTGCTGTCATTTCAAAAAGGTTTATGATTTTACATAATTGTTCCCAGAAACAGCAATCAAGCGTGCTACTTCATCTATAACTATGGGCCTAGGCATCAAAAGTGGTGTTTGCTTTCTGGATATAGAACAAAAAGAACAAGAAAACATGCTTCATTTGGGAAATAAATTTCTGGGATATTGACATTCTAACCAAGCATGTTAAGTAGGGTATTGGTGGTTTCTTTTTGTCTAATGAAACAAGATAAGTTTTATGTATGGTTTAATCATTAACAACAATAGGTTGGAGCTGCAAAACAAAGAAAATGAGGCAAAAGTTGGAATTATAGCTTATAGTGCAAGCTTATAAAAACAAGAATAAGAATTGTTTTTTAATATATAGAAAATATAAGTAGCTACTCTTTATTTTGATAAGTCAATAGTAGTGTAATATGAAGATAAAAGGTTTTTGAAGCATAATTGGTTTTTAAAATTGATCCTTCAAGAGTTTTACACTTACATGAACGTATAAAATAACCATTATCATCTGAGTTCACTTTAATATCTTCAATGTTCTCATTTACATTTGATAAAAAGTAGGCTAAATTTAATTTCACTACATTTGGAAAATTTTCTTTAAGGTTTTACCTTCAAGAAATATAAATTTTAAGCAATTATATAGCACACTAAAAATTGAAAATGAATTAACAAAGAAAAACCTAAAATATTAGCTTATACTATTGATATCTTGAAATCCTTGAATGAATATTATTAAAAAGTTCAATATGATAAGAATGTAAGCTATCTTTCCCTCTTTATAGATCGTCACTCAAGTTGTTCCTTTTGATTGCTTATAATATTTAACTCAATAAGTAGCTTTTGTCTTGTTATATTTTGCATTAGCTAATAACAAGAACCCTTGTGTATTAAGTCTAATCCCTCAATATCACTAATGATAGTTTATTGTATTTGCAAAACACCCTCATTATCATGCCCCAATGCTATTTATGGTAAGTGCCTAAATCTGCTAGTGGAGATAGGAAATTAGTGTTTATAAGGGATTTTGAGTGTGTACCAAACCCTCATTTTGTAGTGCAACATGTTTAGAGTTTAACTCCAAATTCATATGCACTACAAGTTAAGCCCAAATATTCATGAGGTTTTACAAGAATATAAACTGAATATTTTGATTTATAAGAACATATGTGGATATTCACTAAACCCCCAAACAGTAGAGTGGACACAAGGTCATAAGCTGATCTTACTAGAAACTACTTATCTTGCCAAAGTGCCACCATACCTTATTGAGGGGGCCAAACATGACTATTTACAGATGACTTTTAAAATATACTTTAAATATTCTTAGAGGACATCCAAATATTTTAAAATTACATTAAACACAAATATTAGATTAATATAAGACAATAAACTTATTAGTCAAGCTTTGAGCATATTTAGTTCTTCTTATTTCCTCATTTTTGCCCTAAAAATTCTTCTTTCAATACTTATTTATCCTTTACTTTTTTTCTTTTAAGGAGGGGATAAAGAGGATGTGGAAAATAAATGAATTGAGTTTAACTTCCCATATGCAATGCTAGATAATGATGAAAGTTATAAGTATGAGTTAACATAGGCCTCAAAGGTTAACTAAAGGGAAGACGTAAAAATAAATTTTATTGATAGTAGTGAGTCCCAGTTAATGATGGTATTAGAGGGTGGCCAATAGGCAAAATTAAAATGAAATATATCATTTGTTATAATGGTGTTTTGTGAATTGAAATGGCTCTTAAAGTCTTTTATTTTGGTTCAAAATTATAACTTTGAGGTTAGTTTGAGTATTTTGCACTTACACATTGAGTGGTAAGTAATTTATTAGTTCTATAGTTGACTAATGCTTGTGCTATAAGTTTAAGTTTTTATTTCTATCATGGTTGTTAACAATGTTCCATAGGAGTTTTAGGTTCTTATTGCAATCTATAATCACCTAATAGGAGCTCTAGATGTTCTACCTAACTTATTGTCATTACTTTTTCATCTTTTGGAAGAGATAATGGTGTAAGGTTTATAAATACATATACAATATATATATATATATATATATATAACACCTTGTGTAATACATAAATTATAGCATATGCTATTTTGGTATATAAATAGGGGTTTAGACACATATAGCACTCACATATATAAATATCTATATAATGATAATAAATAAATATAAAATATAAATATAAAGAATAAATATTCTCAGACTGCTAGTGGAGTATGTTCAACAAGATGACTGCCAGGGACCTAGCAGTGTGAAACTGAATTTACTACCAAAGCAGCATTCCAGCATGCTCTAGAGATCCTTCATCAAGCAAAACCATTCTTACCTACTACTGCCAGAGTTTTCTATGACTTGGTGTTTTGTTGAAAGTGGCTATATACCACGAAGTTCTTGACATTGGTATTTCTCTTGTGAACATGTGCACAAAGTACAACGCTTTTGAGCGGATAAATTAGGTGAAAGAAGACAACAGCCAACCAAAAAGACCAAAGTCTAAAGCGCACTACTCAAGCCACGATTAAGCTTTCACTGGTGAGTTTGGGATCTAGTTTTCTTTTGAGTGGCTTTCAGAGCAGGAAACACGGCTGTAGTTTCAAGCCGTGACAGCATCTGCCATTAAGTAGAGAGGTTAACTGTCTGGTTATTGCATGTTTTTAGTTATCTTACATACTTCCGTACTTTCCAGATCAAAACTCGCTGTTTTTTAGTGTATTTACATCTCCGATACTTTGGGCTGTCAGATTCTTCAGACACTGGGAGCGAGAGATCTACCTAACGTTTCTCGTCACGATCTCACGAAATGCCATGCTCTGGAGCTATCTTTGCAAAAGCTAAAAAGGTACTCGTCAGTTTTCTTTTTCCATCTCTCTGGACCGTGGCTTAAGCTTGTTTTTAGTTATTGGATTCAAGGACCATATGGACGACTTACAAGAGTAAGCTCGTCAAACTTTAGCAGCGGATCGTTATCTTTAAGCTTGAAATGTATAAATCCTTTTTGATTTTATTCTTTCTGATTTTGGTGCTTCTCTCAATTTACTAGAGGCCGTAGCGGCTGCAAATGACGAAGTTTCCATGGTCGTTGCTTTGTTCTATGCTGGCCAGTTACCATCTGCGCCTCAGGTAGCGTCCAGATTCGAACCAACAAGAACAATTTCGCTGCAAGTGTCCCAAAAACCGCCTTCTCTGCCGTAAGCCAGGCTGCCATTGAGATTTGTGAGTGTGTTATCGAGCAGTGTCCGTGTCCGTGCTGAATACTCTCCAGAGAAGTTGACTTCGAGTACGTCGGTATTAAGATGGTATTTGGGATCCTTGCAGCTTTCAGCACAACTGATTGAATGGCAAACAAAGAACAATCACATTTTCGAGCAAAATTATAAGTGTTTCCTTACATATTTGTGAGCGAGCAGTGTCGTGCTGTGCCAGAGAAGTCGGCTTCCAATATGTCGGTATCGGGAAAGTATCTATGGTCCTTGTAGCTGTTAAAAAAGGCACCGCAGCACAAATGATTGAATGGCAAACAAAGAACTCTTTAAACTTGTGTTCCTTAACATATGCTTTGATGAACTTGTGAAAGGAGGAGCAGCAGTAGCATTGCTATGAACGCCAT